CTCCTCGAATGATCCACACTTTTTATCCCTCTAATTTATTCCGTTCTCTCCAAATTCCTTTCCATGAGAAAATTGCGATATATACACATTTTTTTGCGTCTTTAATTCTCTAATTTAATAAAGTTGCAACTTTTGAATTGTATCTTTATCTCTAGCCCCATTTTCCCCTCTTTTTCCAGGATTTCCAGCCCCAATTTTCAGTTGTATTTAGATGTCTGGAATCTTCGGTGTCATCGTCTCCGGACGCACACCCATCGAAGTCCAACCCGTCTCGGATTCCGAATTCTCGTGTGAGATTCTGAATGCCGACGCCATCAACCACGTCGTCGTCTTCCTCACCGGCGCCCAACCGTTTCCAGAAGGCGTCGGCGGATCGGTGTACATCAGATGGCCAACGCAGGACGGCGGAAATTGGCACTACCTGGGATTCATTTGCAATCAGAAGCCCAGTGCGATCTTCAAAGTTGCTCAGGTATCTTTAAATTTTGAATTTTCAGAGGAAAATTCAAAAATCGGCTTAAAATTCAATTTTCAGCCATAAAATTCCTGAAAATCGACCCTAAAATCGATAAAAACCGAGCTTAAACACCTAAAAATCGGGTTAAAATGGCCTAAAAACTTGAATTCATAGATTTTTAGCCAAAAATCGATTTTCAGCCAAAAAATTAAAGCTGAGCAATCCCCAAAAATTTCCAGCTCCACAAATCCGACGCCTCCCACGCCAACGTCTTCGGTGGACAGCAGATGCAGCTATATTCCAGTGGATCCGCACAGATTGGCATCAACGCAGAGGCCTTATCGATTATTGAGGGTCGGCAGGCGGTGGAAGGCACTCAGGCTAGCCAACAGGTGCTGAAAATCGAAAATTCGGTTTAAATTGACCGAAAATTGATGAAAATCGGCTAAAAATGACCCAAAATTGTTGATGATTTTTGGATTTCCCGCTAAGCTCCGCCCCTTTTGATCAGCTCAAAATATCGAAAAATGTCCTAAAATGCACTGATAATGGCTTGAAAATCTCGAATTTTCTGCCAGTTTCAGCCAAAAATGACCTATTTTCCGTGTATTTTCATATCTGACTAGGCTCCGCCCCCTTTGATCCACCCCCTTATCCTTATCACCCCTATCTCCAGGCCTACAGTAATAAATCAATCGTTTTGCAGTCGACACTGGTTGAATTCGCGGAGAAGATGATACGAAATCTCATCAACCACACTGAATCATTCTCAATTCGTCTTCCTGATCCATCCTCGATCACTGGTGGTCAGTTTTTTGCGGATTTTTGGGGATTTTTGGTCTTAAAAGTTGATTTTTGACGATTTTAACGCTGAAAATCGGCGTAAATTGGCCTAAATTTCACTGAAAAATTCTGAAAATCGCCTAAAAATGACTGAAAATTGCTAATTTTCAGTCAAAAATCGTGAAAATTGATAATTTGTAGCTCATTTTTCATTGTTTTTTGGGTCAATTTTCGTTTGAAAATGGCCTAAAATAGTCTAAAATGGACCCAATTATACTAAAAAGTGCTGAAAATCGACTGAAAATAGCCATAATGACCTGAAATGAGCTGAAAATGGCTAATTTTCCAGCCAAAAATCCTGAAAATTGATGATTTTTGGATCATTTTCAGCCAAATTTTCCGATTCTTAGCTCATTTTTAAGGCAAAAAATCGCAAAAAATTGGTGATTTTTGACGATTTTTTGGCACTTTTTTTTCCGAATTTTCAGCCAAATTCCAGTCGTTTTTCGCCAAAAATGTCGAAATTTCAACATTGTGTCGTTGTTTTCATAGAATTTGATGATTTTTAGCCCATTTTCAGCCAAATTTCTCGATTTCTAGCTCATTTTTCATGATTTTTGTGGCATGTTCAGTCAATATTAGTGATTATTTGCCTATTTTTCGTGATTTTCAGCCAAAAGATCCCGAAAATTGGTGACACTTTTCGACACTTTTCTGACGATTTTCAGCATAATTTCAGGCAAAAATCGGAGAAAAAGTGATTTTTAGAGCATTCTAGAGTGATTTTCAGCCGAAATTAACGATTTTTAGCTCATTTTTCATGATTTTCAGCCGATTTTCAGCCAAAAAATTCCCCAAAAATTGATTTTCCAGGTACGCAAGAATACATCCCTGTCACAGCCTTCCAATCGTGGTACAACTCGTTCTCTCGTCGCTTCGCCGCGAATCCCTACTTCTGGAGAGCATTGAATAATTCCTAATTCTCCAAGAAGCGAAATTTTCAGAAAAATCTGAAAATTTCAGTCAAAAATTCCCAAAAGTTCGAAAAAATGAGGTGATTTTCAATCGATTTTTGTGTCCTAATATCCCATTTTTTTTCTGTGTTTTTTCCTGTTTAAAATTGTGATTTTCAGAATAAAAAACGGCGCGAAATTTGAAAATTTTGAATTTTTGGGATTTTTCTGGACAAGTTGAAACTTGTGAATTTCATATTTTTATTCTAAAAATCGATTTTTGAATTTTTTAGGATTTTCTGGACTATTTTAAGCCTATTTTGGATCATTTTAAGCCTATTTTAGCCCATTTGCCTACAAAAACTCGAATTTTCTAGTTTTTTTAGTCTGTTTTTTGGACTATTTTAGACTATTTGGCTCCGGGACGTCTCAGAACCCGACGTTTCGGAACAACGACGTTTCAGAACCAGACAGTTTAGAACCCGATGTTTCAGAACTTTTCTGCACTTTTGTATAGTGGTTTTTGCACACCAAATGATCATTGCTCATTTCAATTTTGTGTTTTTCTGCTTTTTTGTTCATTCTCATCTACCGTACTCCAAATAATGATAGGTTCACACTGGGAATCTCTCAAAAAATCGAAAAAAAAGAACTTTTCAAGAACGATGTCTAGAAGTACGCAATAATTTTTCCGGCGAATAGGAGTCTCATTTTTTCAATGGCATCGTTTTTTAAAAGTTCATTTTTTTTCGATTTTTTGAGAGTTTCCGAGTGTGAATATATCATTATTTGGAGTACGGTAGATGAGAATGAACAAAAAAGCAGAAAAACACCAAATTGAAATGAGCAATGCTCATTTGGTGTGCAAAAACCACTGTACAAAAGTGCAGAAAAGTTCTGAACTGTCGGGTTCTGAAACGTCGGGTTCTGAAACGTCAGGTTCTGAAACGTCAGGTTCTGAAACGTCGGGTTCTGAAACGTCGGGTTGTGAAACGTCGGGTTCTGAAACGTCAGGTTCTGAAACGTCGGGTTCTGAAACGTCGGGTTCTGAAACGTCGGGTTCTGAAACGTCGGGTTCTGAAACGTCGGGTTCTGAAACGTCGGGTTCTGAAACGTCGGGTTCTGAACTGTCGGGTTCTGAAACGTCGGGTTCTGAAACGTCGGGTTCTGAAACGTCGGGTTCTGAAACGTCGGGTTCTGAAACGTCGGGTTCTGAAACGTTGGGTTCTGAAACGTCGGGTTCTGAAACGTCGGGTTCTGAAACGTCGGGTTCTGAAACGTTGGGTTCTGAAACGTCGGGTTCTGAAAGGTGTTTTCAGCCATTTTTTCAGCTATTTTTGCGCGAAAGTTCTGAGTTTTTCCGGGTATTTTAAGATTTTCGCACTAATTTAAGCCTATTTTCAACAGTTCATTTTGCCTATTTTCCTCTTGTTGATAACCAAAATACATCATAAAATGCTGTGATGATAAGCGAGAAATGTGCACTTTGTGCACATTTTCTCGCTTTCTCACCAACATTTTGATGATGATTTTTGTGTGTTTGCAAGCAAAAAATCGCTGAAAAGCGTTTTTCCGGTTAAATTCGTGATCAAAAACTGTAAAAATCGGAAATTTTCAAATTTTTTTAGCTTATGAAAAACACATTTTCAGCTCATTTTCTTCGAAAAAATTTGCGGAATTTTTCCCTTTTTTGAAGCCCAAATTATCAATTTTCCATCTAAATTCGAAATTCGCGCCCTATTTTAACTTCGCTAGCGCCTATTTTTATGTTCTTTGAGGCCAAAAATCATAGATAATTTCAAAAATAGAAACCCCTTGGGTGAGAAAATAGCAAAAACAAAAAATAAGGAAGTGGAACAGAACGGAGAACGGATTGCCATGTTATTCCATTCCCAATTTATTGGCAGTGCCTGAAAATTGCAAAAATGTGAAAAAATTGATTTTTCAAAAATAGTCGAATTTTAAATAATCCCTCAGAGCTTTTCAAGACCTACAGTATCCAATTTGGCCTGTTTTGAAATATTGAGTTTTAAGCGATTTACAAGTCGATTACTGTATCAGACAGCTTTTTGGCTTGTAACTCGCTTAAAATCCAACTTTTCAAATCGATCAAAATAGGGTACTGTAGCCCTTGAAAAGCTCTACAAGATGAGATTAAATTAGACTATTTTTGAAAGATCAGTTTTTAAGAAATTTCAAAAATTCGAAAAATGCCAAATTTTTGAAATTTCCGAATTTTTCCGAAAATCAGTTTTCCGAAAATAGTCAAATTTTACATCACCTTGTAGAGCTTTTCAAGGTCTACAGTACCCAATTCGAATCGCTTCAAAATGTTGGATTTGAAGCGATTTGCATGCCGATTACTGTAGCTGACAGCTTTTTTGCTTGTAAATCCCCTAAAATTTGAAACTTCAAAACGATTCCAAACTGGATACTGTAGGTCTAGGGAAGCTCTACAGTATCCAATTTGGCCTGTTTTGAAATTTTGAATTTCAAGCGATTTACGAGCTGATTACTGTATCCAACAGCTTTTTGGCTAGTAACTCGCTTAAAATCCAATATTTCGAAACAATTCAAATTGGTTACTGTAGAGCTCTTCAAGCTCTACAGTAACCAATTTAGCCTGTTTTGAACTTTTGGATTTTGAGCGATTTATAGTCGGATTACTGTAGCTACCCCTATGGTATCCACGTGAAAAAAATACAGTTATTGACCCACTTATTTTTTGCCCCCCAAAATAAACATCAAAACTCGAAAAAATGTCATTGTTTGTGTATTTTTGTTTGCAAAGAACGAAAAAGAACATGTGATTTTTCGTTCAAAAATCCTCAAACCATTTAGGCTCCCCCCCTTTTGCTTTGAACCGAAAAATTGTGGAAGTTTTGGCGCCAAACACCACCAAAAATCACCAAATTCGCGAGTTAAAAACGGGGCGGAGCTTATTTAGAGAAGATTTTCGAGCTTTTTCGGGTTCAAATCAAAAGGGGCGGAGCCTATTTTTGGCAATTTTTTGAAAAAAAAATTGCGAAAAAAAATGTTTTTTTCCCCGGTTTTTTTCCAATTTTCTCGGAAAAGAAAGGGAGATTTTCGAGCTTTGAACCCTGGAAAAATTTTTTTTTTTTTTTGATTTTTGAGGACAAAAAGTTTGTCTCAAACTTCTCTTTTTCTCTATTTATCATCATTTTTGTTCTCTCCTTTGTGATCTATTTACTCTTGAAGAATATGCTACTACCCACCACGTGGAATAGGATAGGAGTAGGGAGAAGTGGGGGGTGGTACAAATTGAGTACAAAAAGAGCACTCAAAATTTTTGGAGAAAAATAGCCTTAAAGGTGGTGTACGGTGAAAATTTTTGTATTGCATCAAAATGTGCAGAAATGCATGTAGATTGACATAAAAATGAAGAAAAAATTCAAAAAAAAATTCTTTCATCGAGAAAAATGGCATCGAAAAATACGCTGAAAGCCCTTAGGGACGAGGTTTTTTCTAGGCCGCCCGGTGAGTAAAAGCGCGCGAATTCAAACTTTTAAAATTTTTTCGCTCGTTTTCACTGTTTTTTTTCAAATTTTCCGATGTATCTGGAAGATAAATTGACAAAAACCTTGAAAACTCTGAAAAAACCG